ATTTTTGTAAGGGACCCTGTCTCCTGGTGTGGAGGCAGCCATGTGTTTCTCTGGTCCTCAGGCTCAGAATCACCCGGGCAAGACCTCCCTCCCAGCAAGACCTCCCTCCCAGCCAGTTGGCTGGCTGCAGACTCACTTCCTGGGGTATTTCAGTCATCCTCCCACGGCTGCCATTTGAAGAGGGAAGTGCATTTTCTGAGAGGACTCTCTTAATCCTGCTTTTTAGCTCAGTTCCCCGGTACTTTTGCTTGGCCTGCGGGTCAAGTAGAAAAAAGGGAGCAGCTTTTCTGATGGTATAACCGATATTTCTTTATCCTAAGAATTTGTTTTGGTGCAGAGCTTCCAAGACTCAAAATCAGTCAAAAAATAGTTACACACATTTTAAAGGCACTATAACTACTTAGCAAATATGTATTTAAAATATATAAATTCTTCCCCAACTTATTATGGTTGCAAATTAAAATTTGTCCACTTTAAGTCCAGCCAATTCCAGTTCAATCTACTCTGACATCAAATTTCTAGGAAAAGCAGGGCATTTGTTTCTTTCTTTCTGTTTTCTAATACAACAGAAATGTATTTCTCACAGTTGTGCAGGCTGGGAATTCCAGGATCAGGGTACTGGCAGATTCAGTGTCTAGCGAGGGTTCTGCTTCTAGTCCATAGACACCTGTCTTCTTGCTGTGTCCTTATTTGGGGAAAGGACAAGGGAGTTCTCTGGGGTCCTTTCTATAAGGGCATGAATCCCATTCATTAGAGCTCTGCCTCAATGTCCTAATCACCTCCCAAAGGCCCAGCCTAAAAAAAAAAAATATCACAAGACTGTGGAAGCATGTATAGCGTGTTAAACCCAATGTTCAGGCATGATCTATTTTCTTTTAGTAACCACTTATTCTTCTCTCCTTAATACATTCTCCCAAATGTTTTTAAAAATTAAATAGTGAAACACTGGGAATTTCTAACAAGTATATTTAAGAGCTCAGGTGGATAATATTAAGTAATTTCTACATCCCTGCTTTGCGAATGCGGGTTAATCGGCAGAACAAATTCCTCTATTCTCTCTGAGCTGTTTTATTATATGTCTTTATGCAATATTCAGGATTTTCCTAAATGGCTTTAAGGGTAATTTGATCCTCTTCTAGATAGGCTAGGAAAGAATTGGGGCCTCACCCTGCATCATCTCTTTCCCAGTTCTTAGGGCACTGGGGATATTTTTAATTCTTCAAAGCTCTCCTCTCTTTCCAAGATTGCATTTTCATTCCTTGATATCCTGCCAAGTGACTGGGCTTAAAAATTTGTTATCTCATTCATCAACCAAGCAAATGTTTACTGAGCACATCCTATGTTAGGCACCATGCTAGAATGGAGCAAGCCATATGGTCATAGCAACCTGCAATAATGGCACCATGTGCCACCTTAGGGGTGAGTTTCGGGAGTGAGGAAAATTGCAGGATGCCCCAAACTCAGTCTTGGAGAATTAAGGGAGATATCCTAGAGAGAGTGCTATTGAACTTGAGACCTGAGGGAAGGCAGGAGTTAGCAAAGGAGTAAGGATCAGGGAGGGAAGGGGAGGGCAGGGCTTATCAGGAGGAAGGAACCCCATGTGCAAAGGCCCGGGGGCCCTAGGAGAGCGAGGCACATCCCAACAACTGAATGGGGCCTGTAGTGTGGCCACTGTGGAGTCTGGTTAGAGGATGTCCAGGCAGGAGGCCAGAGAGGTAGCAGGAACAGATCCTTGGACCCTCGATGCCAGATTACAGAAACTGCACTTTATCCTGAGATGAGAATGGAAAGTCACAGGATATGGTCACCAAAATTCAGGCAAGAGTTGGGAGTAGCTTAACCTAAGGGTAGTGGTGGCAGAAATGAGGATTGAGAAGTGGCTGACTCAAGAGTTAGAACACAGAATTGCCAGAGTTGGGGGATGGATCAGTCGGATTGATGCCCTGAGTACTGGAAACCGTTCATAGGGACAAGAGAAGTTTTAAGAGCTGAGATGCTGAGTCCCATGATGATCATTTTGAGTTGCACATACCGGTGGTCATGGATATCACCTCAGTGGGTGAGGAAAGACATTGTGCTGTCTTATTTGCTGCAAGATTGCCCCCTGCCTTGCCCTAGCAAATAGGCATCCATGGCTATGAAATATATGAACGAGAAGTGAATGAGTAAACAGAGAGATGCACCCAGGTGCGTATGGTCCACTGACGGGTTGATACAATGGACACAGAGGGAGACCAAGGCTGGCATGCCAAGTGGGGACCCAGCCACATGTACAAGAGAAGCCAGGAGTGGACATCCCTGTGAGAGGATTGTGTGTGAGGAGGGTGAAGAGGTCCCAGTGGGCAGGGTCTTGGGCAGACAGGTGTTGAAGGGGCAGGAAGAGGAGGGAGCTCATGAAGGAGGAGAGAGGTGGGAGAGGAATCAGGAATCAGCAAATTTCCCAAGTGCTACTACAGAGAGGCCAGTGAAGGTAAAACTGAGAAGGGGCCACAAGATTTGGTAACAAGAATGTTGTTTTAGATCATGGGGAAGACGGTAAAGGCCAGGCAACCGAGATTTGTTCTTCAATTCTGCCCAGGATCCATGACCATGAATGGCAAGTGACAATCGGTGAATAGAAACAAAGTGAAAGGAGTAGCCAAACTCAGCCACCTCCTGCACTACCCTTTAGGGGAGAGCAAGAGGGCCTGGGAGGGAAAAGGTCTTTGTCTCTTGTCCCTCTTTGTCTGGCTCAAGGTAATGCCATTGCCTCTGACTTCCCCAAGAACCGAGCAGCTCCCACGTCCCTAAGTAAAGGCCAAGCCATGGACAAGGGCAGAGGCCGCCACTGGGAATGTTTATGTTGTTAATTTTTTGTAGTTGAATCATATCGGCAAAACTGTTTCCAAGTTGCTCAAACATGGGTAGAGAAGCTGAGTGTTTAGCGGGAGGTTAGCATTTTTCTATGATGACATCACGTGGCCTGGATCACCACTGAAAGGATCATCAATAAAGCAAGTCAACTCTATGCAACTCAAAAAATATGCTTCTCCTCAAAAGACAATAAGAAAGTACGGAGAAACAGAATCAGTTCTCATAGGGAGACTCTTTGGTGAACTTGACAATCCAGTCAGTGGCTGCCAAGGGCAGGTCTCAATAACAAAACAGGAAAGGAAACAAAAACAAAAACTCTGTTCTTAACCAGCACTTATCATTTAGCCTAAGTGGGTTTTAAGAAAACACAGAAAGTTTTTCGCTCTATCTAGAGAGGTGAGGTGCAAATGCAGGAGGAAAACAATCCAGGGCTTGGGAACGATACCACATGTCTGAACCAGAATCACTTCCAAAGAAATTCTCCTGTGACTTCCTATATTTCTTTTGTTTCTGGGCTGCATAAGAGAATATTTTCTTAAGAGCAAACATGTCAAATGCAACAGGAATGACTATTGGCTGACCCAGGAAATTTTCTCCCAACAAGTGCACACAGTGGGACTCCAGATTTCTTTAACTGGACCCAAGTGCCACACCACGAGAGCCTGACGCCAACTGAGAGATGGCTGTGTGACAATCATGTCAAATCTCCTCCCTTCTCCAGAGATACAAGAGTGGAATAAAAGGAGGAAAATAAGCAAATGATGAAATAGGACCATGTGTTCTACGGTGCAAAGCAGAAAATGAGAACAGTGCCAGGGTTGGGAGGTGGGGGGGTTGGAGAACCACAAGGTCTGGGCGGTTGAGAACAAGACGGTGGCCCCAGGATTCCCCACCGTGCGTTCTCCTGTGAAGACTGCTTGGCGCGCTGCCAACCTGACTCACACCCCTCACTGGCAACTTGTGGTCACAGTAAACAAAAACATTTTTCTTGGAATTTTTTCCCCAAATAAATATTTCTTAAAACACTTTATTTCTTGGCTTCCATGATGTCGTGATGTCCTCATTTGGCTCCAATCCCACTGGCCGCTCCTTCCCACCTCCCTGCTATCCTCTACCTCTCTTTGCCCTCTAAGTTCAGAATGCAGCCTTCTCCCTTCCTTCTAAGCACACTTCCTGGGTGGCCTCATCCAGTCTGTTGGTTTAAACATCGTGTTCAAGTTGGAGACTTTCCAACCTATATCTCTGACATAATCTCCTCCTAGACCTCAGATATCTCAAACACCAAAATGTGGATGTTAGTCTTGAGTTATCTTTGATGTTAGCAAATCTTGCTTGCTTTGTCTTCAAATGGATGGGAGCTGGCCACTCCATCTCTATCACTCATCCAAGGCATCTTCACTTCTCATTTGGGCAACTAAGTGGATTCCAACTTCTCATTCTTGCCCCTTCACAATCTAATCTCCCCCACAACACTCAGAGTCAACTTTGGAAAATAGATATCAATCTAAAATCCACTGATGGCTTCCCATAGAATAGAAAATGGATAACAACCCCTCTCCCCCTGAGACATGGGCCTCTCCACACCTGCCCCACCTGCATCCTCTATGTTTGGCAATGCTCACTTGCTCTCAGGCCTGGAACACACCACGTTTGTTGCAGCCTCAGGGCCTTTGCACAAATGGTTCTTTTTGTCTGCCATGCTTTCTCCCAATCTGTGCCCTTCTAGCTCATTTTGTGTCATTCAGAATCAGCTTAAAGCTATTATGAAGAGGTGCCCCGTCTCTTTGTCACAGGGTGTGTGATAGACCTTAGTGCACAGGGGACAACCCCATAAGTATTTGCTGAATTGATTGCCTAGATGAACAACTAATTCATTCCTCCCAGACCCAGCCCTCTGGGCCTTACCCAGAGAAAAGAGTTGAAGATCCGGCTGTAATTCAATATGACTGTTAAAATTCCAAAAAAGTTAAAATTAAGATCAAATTACAGTTGAAGGTGTTTTCTCTAATTTAACCAATGGGTCTCAGATTTGTTTTTCTGGAAATTTCATAGCAGAAGTCATTCCAAATTTTGAATCAACTTCATCTTTTATTTGTCTTCCCATTCCACCTCTCCCCTCCTTGTATCTGAGAGTCAGGAGAGAACCCATCAATTCTGAAAATGGCTTTCTCTTTCTTCATCACTCAGAGAAGTGATGAACGTCAATTGTTTTGATAAAAAATGATAGCACATAGTGAAGCAACCTTCCCCCCCGAAACAGTTATTATCTATTTGACTGAATTCAACTTCTAATCATGTTTTCAAACCCAAAGTCACTGAACTATAGTGAGAGAGAACAGATGGGTCTTGCCTGGGGCAGGGGTGTGTGAAGATTGGCTACAGAGGACTTGAGAGGTTGTGGGAATATTGCCTTTACCGGGGCCATGTTTACACGGGTGTATGCATTGGTCAAAACACATCAAACTACACTTACATTTACTACACGCAGTATGTCAAGCACTCTGCTCAATGTCTGACATTGATTACTCTAACATCCCCGAGCAGTGGCTGTAGAGGATGCATTTGAGCAGAGCTGCTCTGCCACAGACCATGATTTTAATCCTATATAAAAGCCTTATCTGAGAATTCATTTTTTAATATTTGGGTGTAAACAAAATTCTTTATTTTAATCCAGAAGTACAGTGGTCACCTGAAACATAGGCACTGAACAAATGATCCACTTTAGCATGGGTTCCCTCAAAAGCAGACTCTGGTTGGGTGGGTTAGGAATGTGAGAAGCCAATGCTGGGTGTCTTAGTGCTCAGGTGAGCGTGCTGGGCACGTGGGGCTCAGTCCTGCCCGGGTCCTGCAGGAGGTGGTGTAGGAGATGCCTGGCTTTGTCCCACTTGACCGAGGCGGTATCTGGGGCATTTACCCATAGACTCCACCCTCGTTGTCTGGAGTCTGCTCCTGGGGCATTGGCTGCACTGAACTTTCCTCCTGGCCAGCTCAAATGCTGAGCACAGTTTGCGGACCGGAAAAACCCATCAGATAGGGAGTCACAGATGTTTGCACTAATAAACTGTAGGGTTGGACTGCAAGGAAACGGATGCTGAGAGGAGATGTGGTACCACGACAGTGACTACTGAATATCTTTACTTGTGTGTGAAAAGTCCATCCAAGCATCCTTATTTGGTTCTTTGCTGTTTGGGAGTTTTGTTTGTTTTCCTTCCTCTCATATAACTTTAGATTGATTCTTTGTGGCTCTTCTGCTAGCTCCAAATAAAAACACCAAGATTAATTGTAGTCAAAGGTAATGAATGACTTGGACTACTCTCCTTTATAGAATCCTAATGTGTACATGAGAATGCCACTCCAATTTACTGAGCCCTTATTCTATACCAGACTCCAAAGTCAAGAGCTTTCTTGGCTTAATTGTCAAAACAACTCTAGATTGAGGATGAGGATGTTTATCCCCACCTTGCAGTTGTAGAAACTAAGGCTTTGGAAGGTGAAGTAATTACCCGGGTTCTAGAATTGGCAAACATGGCTGGAGTCCAAGCCCAAGCTCTCTCACTGGTCTCAACACTCACTCTAGAATTTCAACCAGCACAGTGTGCGTTTCCCAGTGGGCATCTCCATCTCAAATCACAGCATGTGACATGCCAACAAAGAATCAAAAAGGTGGCTGGTGGGCGTGGAATCAGAACAAAGAGATACAAAGTATTTAGAGATTCGAAGTGTGTGAACACAACTTGCACAAATCCTGTCAAGATGCTCACCAAATGTTCACAAAGAAAAATTCATTTTCCTTCCCAATAATACCATTAAAAAAAGAATTGGCCTTCATAAGTACAACAAGGATTACTTTTAGCATATATAATCACAAAGCATATATTTAAATACTGGTATGGCCAGGGCCTGAGACGATAGGGCCTGAGGAATATGGGTGTGACGCCAACCGGCCAACTGCATACTCTACAGACAGCTGAGTATTCTAGTGGGCACTCGCTAAATTTACTCTCTGGCCATCCTACTGCTTCTGACACTGGGGCCAACTCGCTTATCTTCATGCTTTCTGCTCAATGGGTTTTCCTCTTATGTCTCTACCATGAATATCATGGGTAAGAGCAGAACTTTTATGACTGTGCAGCAGAGAGGTGTCTGGGGATAACCCTCTCTTCTTACAAGCCTCCCTGTTTCCTTTCTGCCCACCAACACTTTGCAATGACTCCCTTTCCATCCATCCGGAGCCCTCGATGAATCGGCCTCCTTCCTACTCTCCAAATTCTCCTCCCTTCCTTGAGTGTGCTGGGGTCACCCAACAAACCACTCACTCAAATCCTTGTCTCTGTGTCAGCTTTTCCTGGGATCCAATTTAGACAGCATAACATCACCACAAAATCTAGTCTACTGTGTTCCGACTCCATAAATAGATTTCTAAGTTCCTGCGGGCTGAGATGATGTTTGATATGTTTATACCATTCATGCTTAGCCTAGAGCAGGGGTCCTCAAACTTTTTAAACAGGGGTCCAGTTCACTGTCCCCCAGACTGTTCGAGGGCCATTGGAGGGTGCGGCGCACATTCCACAATGCGCACTGTGGGCCCGGGACAAGTCAGCTGCTAAGCAGGACAGGCAGTGGCGACAAAAACACCCGGCGGGCCAGATAAATGTCCTCGGCGGGCCGCATGTGGCCCGCAGGCCGTAGTTTGAGGACACCTGGCTTAGAGCATCGTACGGTCGACATACAAGTACCCTGGGATTTTATAAAAGTTCTAAGGTATTAACATATTATGTTTTGGGGTGAAAACAGCAGAGCTAAAGGGCAGGCTGCAGGAGCCAGTGGCGTGTGCATCAGGCTCAAGGTCATGGTTATCAGCCACAATCCCATATAAACCTAAACCGCATCCCAAGGAAGGGAAGGCAACCCTAGAGCAGTATTGTTAAACTGCCAAGGGGTAACTTCGGGGGACTGTTCACCTTTTATTGCTTTTCTCTTTGCGTGGGTTGCTGGGGAACTCAAGTCCAAATTTAGTGGCTCACGTCTAGCAAAGTGCTTTCTTTCTTTTACATCAAGCTCATTTCCAGCTGTGGCTGATTTCCCCTCCACCCCTCCTATGCCTTCCAACTTTCTTATTTGTACTGTCATGTGTTCATCCTATACATATTGCAAATCATTTCTAGGAGGAAGACAATAAGATCAAAGGTGCGCCCCGCACTTGCCCGTGAGTGACACTCACATCCCGAGAGAAGAGGAACTGGTGTCAGCGCCAGAGCTGGTGAGCAGCAGGGGTGGGAGTAGCTTCAGGTTCGTTGTCTCACATCACAGGACTGCCTTCTGCTGTGACGGCCAACGGTCCATGTATGCCTGTTCGGAAATTCAGTCTCATCTGAGCAGGGAATTGAGCCTGAGAACATGTGCAAAAAGTGATACTCTTTCGCATGCAACTAAGTCAGTGTCAGAACAATCTCAGCACAATTGGGGTGGCCTGCGATTTTATGGTCAGCTCTCTTTTGAGAACCTAATGATTTCCAGCTGTTGTCTCTGAATACCCAGCCTCTGGGAAACCACAGATTGATGGAACCTGGGCTTTGAGTTCTGCAGCACTTGGCACTTGATTTTCAAAGGAGAGATGCCCAAAATAACTGCCCTTGTAAAAGATGAGAGGCACTTAGGGACATTTCAACACAGTGAGTATTGCCTGTGACTCACAATAAGGATTTAAAAAAAATTTAAAAACTCTGTGCCTAATAAGGATTAATTCTCCTCTCGGTCCTTTTCTTTTTATTCACTCAAAGCCAATTTTAGTAACATTGACAATTTCATTTCTGCTATTTAATGAGCATATTCTATTATTCTTTTCTCTATCTCAGTAAGATGGCTTCTATTCACATCACTTAGAGTCTCCTTTCCAAGGGTTCTGGCATTTCAATAGGTTTTGACTAGTTCTTAATATTCATCATTATTTTTTAAAAATCTCATCTTAGGCCCAACATCATCAAAGGGCCTTTTTTTTTTTTTTTTTTTTTTTTTGAGACAAGGTCTCACTCTGTCACCTGTGTAGAGTGCAGTGACATCATCACAGCTCACTGCAACCTCAAACTCCTGGGCTCAAGCGATCCTCCTGCCTCAGCCTCTCCAGTAGTTGGGAGTATAGGCATCACCATATTCAGCTAATTTTTCTGTCTTTTGTAGAGACAGAGTCTCACTCTTGCTCAGGCTGGTCTTGAACTCTCAACCTCAAGGGATCCTCCTGCCTCAGCCTCCCAAAGTTCTAAAATTACAGGTGTGAGCCACGACGACCGGCTCCCTGTTGGTTTTCATATTGACAAATTAGACCTGGAAGTGATATTGCCTCTGTGGTCCTGAGTTTCTTCAACTGTGAAATTGGAAGTAGGCTGGGATCAGGTTGCAAACAGAGAAAGGCATTTAGGTTTATTCTAGGGGGATTGGTCAGCCGTTGGTTTCTACCAGGAGAAGGAAGGGATCCAATTTACAATTTCTATAAGTCACGTTGATGCCTGTGAGGCAAATGACACGACTGGCAGGTCCAAGTGGAAGTTGAGGAGGTGTGTTGGGGCTGACCATGCACAGAAAGGACAACAGCGGTGGGAGGGGCGGTAGCCAGAGACAGAGAGCAGTGTGCAGGGTCAGGTATGCACCCGGCAGGACCCACTTGAACAAAGGCACGTTACTTCCTAATAGACATCACAGACTGTGTAAACTCAACGGGAGCGTGGACGGCAACCAGCCCAGTCTCATTTCCTAGAGCTGCACGCAGAGAGAGATGAGAAAAAAAGGGAGGAAAGAGAGAGGTAGGGAACGGGGAGAGGACGGATGAGAGAGGAGAGGGAGAGAGAGTGGGAGGAGGAAGGGAGAGGAGAAGCAGGAAGAGGACAGAGAGGAAAAGAGGAAAGGGTGGAGGAGGGGCAGAGCCGGAGGCCAGCTAGGCCAACCCCCTGCTCGAAGGCAGAGGGGCTGCTGGCAGTGGCCGCGCTCACAGGGTGGCGGCTCAGAGGTTCACTAGAGGTTCAGGGCCAGGTCTGGTTTGAATTCCTCCACGGCCCAGTAACTCACGCTCCAGTGGCTTGCTTGGTCCCAACGCTAGAATCCATTGTGTTTCCCTGGAACAGGGGCCTTATGGGGGAGGGGCGCATGCGTGGGAAGAGGGGCGCATGCGTGGGAGGAGGGGCGCATGCGCGGGAGGAGGGGCGCATGCGTGGGAGGAGGGGCGCATGCGCGGGAGGAGGGGCGCATGCGTGGGTTGGGGCAGAGGGAAAGAGGGGGATTGGAGGAGAAAGCGAGTCTCGTGACGCATTCCGTGCAGAGTCCTGGCTTGGGTAGACACCAAGGAAGGTCAAGCCGGACATAAAGACCACGTTTCTCACCCTCCTCGCCCTACCAGGGAAGCGAACCCACTTTAGTGGAGGGTCTGCCGTCAGAGATCCACACACAGTCATTTCTTCTGCCCATTTCTCAGATCAGAAAAGGGAGGCCCTGCGAGGTTCGGTGATTCCCTCTCCAACGCCATGGCCTGTGAGCGAGTGCGAAACCCAGTCTCTAAGAGAGGCAAGATGTGTGGAAGTGACTCGGAGACCCGGCAGAACCGCAGGCGGACTCAGAGAGGGCAGCTACGTGCTGGATGCTCCTCCCTCGCGACGAGGGGCGGCCTTGCCTCTCTCAGCGCTGCCTGGGGATTTCAGGAGCCGCCTGGACTGGGAGTGTTGAGCTGTGCCAGTGACAGGGCTCCGATGGCCCGTGAAGCACGAAAGGGCCACATTGCGAACCCTACTACGTTGCCGGGCGGTCTGTGCGTGAGAGTTAAATACAAGCCAGTGCAACCGCCGCCCTCTCGAAGAAAAGAGAATCCATTCTCCTCAGAGAGCGGGCAGCTTAAGGAATCCACAGCCTCCTTCTGTGATGCTACCTGGTCCCCCCAAGCCGGTGTTTCGCAAGTGTTGGAACCTGTGAGGAGAGAAGGATCACACGGCTCCTTTAGCGGGAACAGGCCTGGCAACCACAGAGGCCCCGGTGGGAGGGCACCAGGCCTCCTGGGAGGGAGTGTAGCTGGATGCAGTCCCCCCCCTGGATGCCCCACCTTCACTTTGGACCCAAGACCTCAATAAAGTTGGGATAGATGAATAGTCCCTACCCACCCTCACACAGAAGTCACTAAGTTTAATCTTACTGCTTGGAGAGTTTGGCAAATCTACTCATTTCCCAAACTCCCGGCTTCTTAACATCTCATGGACTGTGGTGGTCTAGAAAGTGCCTGTAGGGCCAACCATGTGGCCATAAAGCCTGACTCTGCCCATCCCATCCCCTCTCTCCCACCGTGGGACCCAAACACAGAGTCTGCCCGTCCCCCATGCATGTCATCCTCACCCCTGGATGGGCCCGCTAACTCTCCCTGTCTCCTGGAGCTATTATGATTTTTTAAATTACATACATATGTAAATTTCAGAATTGTGCCTGCCGCTAAGCAGAGCTATGTCAGTTTTAGGATTTATTTGTGTTCCTGTTAAAATCACTTAGGAGTAGTGGCCCTGGATTTGGACAATGAAATCTGAAGTCAGGGACAAGTTGGAACAGGTCAGTTGTTAAGCTTATTTCCTAGGATATGTCTGTTTTCTTTCCATATGTGTGTGTTTTATTTCTGTGTTAACTTGATTTCATCGAGGCCACCAGAAATTGTTTTAGGCCTAGAATCCTTTCAAAACTCCCAGTTTCTCCAGAACATAAAAGTTTTTTGGATATATAGGGGAAGATTTCAGAAATAGGAAATAATTATAAAGCTCCAGAGAGCTGCAACTGCTCCAATAGAAATAAAGGGATAAAGAACTAAGATTTTCTTAGAAGTAGAATTACTTTTTATTGCAGATAACATTAACTTGCATATAAAAGTTTGCAAGGAATTTGCTGCAAAGCACCAGAACAAATAATAACTGAGTTCAGCAAGGTCACAAGGTTTAAGATCAACCTAAGAAATTCAATTGTACTGTTATATACCAGCAGTGAGCAATATGACAATGAAATGCAAAACTTTTCAAATTCTTTGGCTACCCTTACTAATCACTTCTCTTTCAGAGTGAACAAATGTTTTACCTAAGCTATGTGAGAACATAAGAACAATATCCTGCTTATTTTATTTTTTTTAAATATCAGAATACTATGGGAGTACAATTACATGGATTATTTTTGTACTGCTTGAGTGAAATCATACCTACAGCGCACAATGTTACGCCATCTGATTGATTTTTTTTTTAAGCTAAACCGGCTCATGAAAATGTCCATGTGTCCCTATGGTACTGGTAGCCAAAGGTGACCCAGAATGGAAATTGGTAGCAAAAAGAAATGTTAAGCGTTGTTTGTCTGTAAAAGTTAACAGAGGAGAGTCAGAAAATCAAGAATGTTTTCCCCAAAGATGGCTGCGTAGCTCCATAGTGGGAAGACCCTGCGTGCAGCCCCACTACGTCCTGCCTAGAATGGGGCAGGATGGGGGGCGGGGGGTACCTGGCAGTGATCAGGGTCGGGAAACATCAGGGTTGGCTGTTTTGTCTGATATTGAGCAATTCAGTGGACCAGTCAATCAGAACTCTGACTCAAGTGGCCCGGACAGCTGTGTTTTCTGCCTGGAGAGAGCAGTGTGCAGCCTTCTGCGCTGCAGCTTTGTGAAGGTGAGGGGCAGACAGCAGAAAAGAGCTGGGGCAGATGTAGGACTTTAACAAGAGGCCTGGTGGACAGGCTGCCATGGGGTGGATGTGAGGGTCAGCACAACCCAGATGAAAGGCTCAGAACCGGGGCAAGACAGGACCTGCTGAAATGGCACAGGAACAGTTGGTTGGGTGAAGGCAGAGTCCGGCTATGAGAACTGCTATGGCTTGGCAGGAAGCCACAGAAGTGGGAGAATCTGAGGGCAGGGGCTACGGCAGCACCATGGATAGCTCTCTTGGGGAGAGCCACTCAAAGCGATGTGTTAAGAAGGATTCTGAGGCTGTGACTGGACCAAGCAGGAAAGATTGCTGATTGATTAATGATGCCTGCCCTGGACATGTGAGGGGGAGTGGTGGAAAGTTTTCAACTCCTGATGTAGGCTGAGCCCTGATCCACCAGAAGGCCTTCTGCATCTCAGCTGGTTTGCATGTTGGAGATTTGCATCTCTCAACTAGACAGAGGCAATTCTCCTGTGTGCTTATGATTCTTAAGAATCATAAATTTATGATTTATAAATAAAATTTAAGAATCATAAATTTTAGATTCATCAACCTATTTCCTCTGAACCCCAGTCCTGCTCTTTCAGCCCCCTCCCTGGGGGCAAGGGAAGGTTTCTGAGAGCTAGACTTCCAGCTGGAGCCTTGACCCCTCTTTTCCTAATGAATGACTTTCAGAGATGGCTCCAGGTGTTGCTGCCTGGGCCTGGGTAACCATGACAACTTCTCTCATTGCAGAACTCAACTGGGGATACCTGGACTCTCATTCTGGAAAACTCTGTGTTTTATATTGATCCTGGGGTTGGAGGTTGGAGGGAGCACATGGATCACCATGCAGAAATGTCATCCTGTAAAGACCCCAGTGCACTTGGACATTTTTTCCACTGGTATCTGGTTTCCTATGACCTCCAGGATCCTGCGTGGGTGTCCCCGTCATGGACATGCAGGCTGGGGATGTATGCCACACGTCAAACATTTTTCTGAACCCCAGCCACAGTGTTTCTGGCTCCTGCACACATTGCAGGAAGACTTCTGTGGAGCTGGAATTTGACACAGACACATTCAGGGCAGTCAGTTGCTGAGGAAGGTTTATCTCTTAGGCTCAGAGGTACCCCTAGTCTCTCAGGCTCTAAAAGGATTTAGAAGCAGGGCATTGACAATTTCCCACCATTTGTAAAAAGGCTCTTTCTCCCCTTCTCCAACAGTTGCTCCTGCCAATACAGATGGGGAGCCTTCCTGCCTGGGCCAGGGCCCCACTTTCCTTCTGTCACCTGGATTCTTAGCCTATACATCTGAACACAGCTGCTTTTCTTGGCCATTCTAGTCAAACAAAGTGATAGGAAAACTGGATTTTTTCTTTAGGACTCATTCCCTCAACACCCCTTTATAGCAATATCCTTTGGAGACCCTAACGCCCAACTTGGGGACTCAGGACCAACTGCTCGCAACCAGGGTGTCACATGGGGCAGTGTGCACCTCAGCCTGCTTCTGCCCTGGAGTCGTTTCTTCAACAACAACTGCCTGATTCATTGGGAAGAGCCCAGCAGCTTCGTGCTGGTGGCTTGGAAAGTAGCCACTAAATGTTCACCCTTAGACTCAATGACAGAAAGTATAACATCTCCCAGGACCTTGAATTCCAAAAAGGAACTTAAAGAAGAAAAGAGTGGCTGATGGCATGGTGAGTTTTCCAGTTCAATGGCACTTGACAGTAGATGGGTTTCCTCACTCCTGTCCAATCACACATGTGGAGGATTCGGTCACTCTCTGTGGGCTTGGACACTCCAACCATCTTGTTTTCTGAGCATCTTCCATCTGAGCCCCTGGTCTGGGCTCACTCTTTCATTTAGTAATCCTAAAAGTACTTTGGGGCTGATGTTGTTATCCTTATTTTACAGTTGAAATAAGTGCACCTTAGTGGAATTCAATGGCTTCTGCACAGTCACACAGCTACTGAGTATAGGATAAGAGTTCACACTCAGATTTCTGATGCAAACACCAGTGGTGACTCTATCATGCCACAGTGGTGGCTGTGAACCCCACCTTGCACCCCTTCTGTGCAGGTGCACACTCGCCAGGCTGTGCCCTCTCTCTCCCCAGCTCTCCCTGTCCCCAGAGGGGAGAGTGACAGGAGGTAAACTTTGGTCCTCTCTGAGCCCCAGTTCCTGCACGTACCAAGCCCTTGGTGAATGTCCACTGAGTAAAAGGATATTAGAACCTGGTTTGTACACACGATTCTTGTGGCTACTGTAATAAATTGCCACAAATCTGACAGCTTGAAATAAGATAAATTTATTGTCTCAGTGTCCTGCAGACCAGAAGTTCAAAATCATTTTCACTGGGTCCAGATAAAGGTGTTGTCAGGGCTGTGCTCTTCTTGGAAGCTTCAAGGAAGAATTTATTCTGTTAAAAGAAAAACTCGAGACAAATGAAATATAATAGAGCTTAATTGAACAAGGAGAGATTCATGAATCAGGCAGCCCCCAAAGTCAGCATAGGTTGAGAGCATCTCCCAGGCTTCCACATGGTCTGATTATATTTATGGACAGAAAAAGAAAGTAACATGCAGAAAACAGAAGAGAGGCACAGGAACAGCTGCATTGGCTATGCTGGGCGTTTGCCTTATTTGAACAGGGTTTGGACAATTGGCCTCCTGGGATTGGCTGAAACTCATCTACTTGTTAAAAGAGGAGGTTACAGTCTATTTACATCCAGTCAGGTGACAGTTCACTATGCACAGAGAAACCTTTAGGCTGAATTTAAAATACATAAGGAGGCAGCTTTAGGCTAAACACGTTGATAGTTCCTTGCCTCTTCCAGCTTCTGTGGTGCCAGCATTCCCTGGCTTGTGGCCACATCACTCCAATCTCTCCCTTTGTGGTCACACGGCCTTCTCCCCTGCATGTGGGTCCCATCTCCCTGTCTCTTTCTTATAAGGAGACTTGTGATTCCATTTAGGACGCACATGGATAATCCAGGATAATCCCCTCATCTCAAAATCCTTAAGCACTTCTGCAAAGACTTTGCCATATATTATTAATAATAAGGTGACACAGTTCAGTGTGTAAACATCTTGGAGGGCCTTTCTTCAACCTCCTGCACACACAGTTCCAGCCTTTAGAAGCACTGATTTGAGGTGGGGGTCTGGGGGATGGTCCAAGACCCCTCATTTCACTGGTGAGGTCAGTGTTCACACTGGAATGTGCTGGACTGAGAATCGCACCCCTCACAGGGTGGAGCTGCCTGCAAATCAGCTGCCCTGGCCCGCGGTGGGCGCAGCATCCCCGCCCTCATGGATCTATTCATTCTTCATCACCTTCCCGCTGGCTGTTGCATTACCTATCAACAGATATGCAAGTACCTGCCTCCTAGCTTTACTCTAAGGGTTACACGACAGGGCCCACAGGAAGTGCCTAGGATATGTTCAGACATCTGAGAACGTGAGCCACAGTCACTGTCCTTATTGTTGGCTAAGTCCCCTTGGAGCTTAAGGCTCTACAGGGGAATCCATGCTTTTCAAAGATTTCCTAATCACATACTAATTACACAGCAGCAGCCCTGGCAGGTCAACAGGCTCAGAAATGAGTCAAAATGGAATGTCACTGGAACTTCCTTTGGTGGTCACATATATCCTTTGATGACCTTGCTGTTGGCTCTGACAAAGCCACTTTGTCATGCAAGACCCTTTCCTCCTCCCTGGGAGCCAAGTAGGTGGCAGATGGGGAAGGAAGTCTGCTTTCAATACTTCTAAGTGACCTGAGAGTGAAATACTGGACATTTGCATGCGTGAGAAATGCAGTGTTTGTGCCCCTGGGCTGTGTCACGTGAGCTGTTGCCCTCCTGCAGGCCAGAGTTTTGAAATTTTCTTCCTTAATGGAAAAGAGAAGCTGACAGATCAGTTTTTACGTAAAACTAAATAACTAAAAGATAATGAAAGCCTTTGCTGCTGTTGACACTTAAACCCTTCCTCAAAGGCAATCAGGACTTCTCTTGCTGTGCGCTTTGGAATGATGATGAGTGGTTTCCTCAAATGTCACTGGTGTGACCTGGCTGAGAAGGTCTCCTGTGCAGCCATTTCCCAGGCCTTTGTCACAGACTCATATTAGGCCTCACTTTCAAAGGCACCTAGGTGGCCACACGGAGCAGCTGGCCCTCCCCCGGGTCTGGTCTTAGGGCCTTAGGTGCTCATCTGCCACCACTGGGCATGGCTGTGACCAGCGTGCATGTCTGTGGTGGGTGGGATCGTGGTTCCAGGGCCTTTGCGCTGGGGTTCTGCAGTGCCTACCTGGGAGTGGGTGGAGTTCTTCTCCCGTCCCAGGAACGCTGGGCTGGGGGCACGATTTGCTGTGGACAATGGAACATGGATGGAAGTGGCTGAAATAGAGATTTCAAATGCGCCTGTGCGGGAGGGAGTGTGAAAGCTTGTCGGTAATACCACAGTAAGAGGAGCCCAAGCTCAATGGCCGCAGTTCAGCAGGAAGCTGGAGTTGCCAGGGAAGTCCAGCGAGTAGGCTGGGTGGGCCATGGGGACAAAGAAGAGAGCCCAGCTCAGGGGACACAGCCAGGCCCAGGATGGCGGGACCTGGCCAGCCAAAGCATGCTGTAATCGGCCTCGTTGTTTCTCACTGGTCCCCAGAGGGCACAGAACCAGCACACCAGAGTGTCGGGGCTGGGGCAGGTCGGGCTCAGGTTACATGGGCCAGAATGGAGCCCAGCCTGGCCTCTCAATCCCAGCAGAGTCTCTCCTTGCTCCCTGCTAATGTCCCTTTCCGCACCTCGTTTGCCTTCACAGCACTCACCATACTTAGCAACTCTACACCTTTCCAAGAGAGGAATTATGCCTGTTTTGGTCCCAAGTGCAGCCCCTGAGCCTGGCTTGTGGCCTGGCTCTACATGAACTCCTGAAAAATATCGGTAGTGTGAAAAAAATGAAATAAAGAAGAAAAAAAGAATGAAGAAAGAAGAATCAAGGCATATCTATAAAAACCCAGGATGGCATCTGTGTCCCTTAAGTTAATGCACTTGATAAGCAAGTTCATTGTTTGTGCCCACCGGACCTGCTGCCCAGGAGACACAGTGATGGGATGACAGCGCCCGGTCCTGAGCTGGGCCCTGCATTCCATTGCTGCCTCTTCCTGGCACAACCTGCAATTGTTCTGACCCAGCAGAGTTTCCGTGTTTGCATCTGTTCACTGGGCATAACAACAACAACTTCATAGGGTGGTAAATACGATAGTGGCTATAAAGTGCAGTGCCTATCTCATGGTTGGAGATAAGGAAATGCTCCCTGGTTCTTCCTGCCTCTTGGATTTAGTCAAGCTTTAGTTTCTTGCATGCAAAATAACAGAATTCAACTTTAAGCAAACTTAAACAGCAAGGGAAATTTATAGGTAGGATCTTGGGTTGTCTTATGGGGTCCAGGGAGCCTTTGGAAAGTCAGCTTCAGGAGGGGACATGGGCAGCTCTGGAGCCAGAGGGGCAAGGGCTCCTGGGCCATCACTTGAGTATTGCCATGACTTGCATTAGGTCTGACCAAGGCGAGTACTGACTGGCCCCCTGGGTCAAGTGTACTTTCCTGCTTGGTCAGTCATGGCCAAGGGAGGAGGGCCTTTCAAAATGAACATGGAATGGAGGCCAGGAGCCCTTCTCCCATGAAAGAAAATGGTCATGGTCTAAGAACAAAGGCAGGACATAGACAAAGGGCCAGATTCAATTATACACTCCCATGTTGCTTCCTCCACGAGACTGTCCCCAAGTCACCCAGCAGGTGATATTAGTTGTCTTTCCTAGAAGTATTTTATTCTTCACTTTGGGCACTTACATCATTGCTTGCAATTTGGTATCATGTGTCTATCTCTTGTTCCCCTTCCCAAATGCAGGAGCCCTGTGTAATTAAACCCTTGTATCTATCTCTATGACAAGCAAAGCGAACGTTTTGACTGCATGAGCTGGGCTTCGTCAGTGGTCATATGCACACAGGAACAGGGAAGCAGATGCTCCAAGATGTACAAAAAGAAGCTCTACCCTTTAGTGAGTTGTTACCCTTATCATTAGAGCCCTGGCATGGAAGATCACCAATCTCTTCATTCATCTCACTCCTGGGGGACTGGACTGCTGCCTGCTATGGATCGGACACTGTGCTGGGCCAGGATGCTGCCTCCTCGGCCCACAGACTAAGGTATAACTTCAAAGGGGTGCTCTCTGGGAGATGGATTCACATCCAACGCATTTGGCCTGGATTTTGAATGCAACTTTTATTTCTATTCCCCCAGTAATTTAATAAGTATTTCTTACTTCATTATAGCACTAGTAATAGAAGAACTTGTTTTGGTCCAGCCCTTAAAAGACAATTCATTCCCTGTGTTTTACTCTGGCCTTTAGATCCATCATATTATCTCATTGCAAATTGTACAACTGTATAGTTTTCCAAGATTTGAGCCAAATATTAAAAAAAAAATGTTGGTTTGATAATTGAATGCCAAGAACTGAGGAGTCTCAGTAATCTTATTTCATGAGAGTTTGGGTGGTAGATTTTTCTAAGGGGCTATCATTTGACAATAAATGAATATTTCATTGAATCTGTTGGAAATGTTTTTCTTTGAAAGTTAATTCATGGGTTTACTCCCCATCACCCCACCGCTGCTTTCCCTCTATTTCAGAGCCCAGGAGTTATTTTGGATTCAGCTTTTCTACTCCTGGGAAGAAGGAAAAAGAAGCACTGTCAATTAAAGTTCAAGACACAACTTCTTTTTCTGAATGGAGAAAGCTAATGGATACTATAATACATTTTTGCTACAAATGAGAATCAATAGGAATAAACTCAATGTTGACAAATTGACAATAAGTTTTGTGTTAAAGTTATTCTGTCACTATTAAAACAATTTGGCATCAAAGAATATGAGGTATCCAAGCCTGTTTATTTCTTGTCAGGTAAATTGTGGAGAGTGTTCATTCTGCAGTCTGTAAGCCCACAGCCTTGGACAAGGAGCTCAAGTATAGAACGTGTCCAAGTTCTGTAGAAACTTCTCTGTATAAACTGTTCCCGTCTCATGTCCCAGTGAAGAAGAGTTTGCATTTCTACACATGCAATAGACGGGCAATGTAAGTTGCTGCTTTGAGCTTGAGATGGATGGGTGGCCCAGGGGGGTTGAACATCAAGCCCTCAAAATTATTGTGCAATCAACAATGGAGTAAGTTGCCCACCACCACAGAGCATGCAATAAAACCAGCATCATTTCTGTAATATTCCTGTCCATGATAAACAATCTGAATGTAATCCCAAGGAAATGTCAGAAAAATCCAAACTGGAGTACATCCTACAATGTAATTGGCCTATCCTCTTCACAAGTGTCAAGGTTGTGCAAATCAAAGACGACCAAGGAGATTTCACAGATTGAAAACAGCATAAGATATACAACAACTAAATGTGGTCTGTGATTCTGATCTGTATCTTTGCCCCCAAGAACTTCACTGGGGCAAATTGAGAGTTTGAGTGGGGCCCAGAGCTAAGGTGGTGTTAAGGTGTCAATGCCAATTTCCTAATTTTGATGGTTGTAATGTAGTTATGAGGGTGGCGGAGGTTGATTAGGCATCACGTCTGCTACTTACTCTCAAATCGATCAGGAAAAAATGGTCTCAGTTTTGTTCTGGAAATTTGAGATGGTCTGCAAATTTTAAAAAATTTAAAAGGGGTTTGGGCCTTCTCAGCACCCCATCCACATGATAACACTTCTTCCCCACCAACCAACAGTCTCAGCATGGTACAGCAGGCCAGCAGTGTAGACTAAGCATTGATCCACTTTTTTAGTCTCTTTAGTTACGCTAAACATTATCTTTCATATCTCTTCATTTGTTGCTACTAATTAATAGCTAAATGCCCTTCTAGTGATTTTTATCTATTGGAGAGCCAATAGTTTGGAGTTCAAAAGCAACAACATTGGCTGTATAATGATACCCAGAAGTCCCTTGGCATGCTGCAGTCACAGCCTCTTGTTTTGCAGGTGAGGACAGGGAGGCAAACCTAGATGCCTGGACCCAGCATCCTCTCTCCTGGGCTGTGAGCTCACCATGGAGCACAGCCCTTTTAGCACTGACCTCAGCTTGGCGTTCCTCTTTGTGGCCCTGGGGGATGAATTCTTGATCTTTAAGGAGGGGAGACAGAGAGCACTTTCAAGGCTACAAATAAATAGGGGGGTATTAATGGAAATAAAGAGGTGGCAGAGAAATTGCAAAAGAACAAAGAAATGGAACATATTTTGGTTCCTTTCTCTTTCTGCTAGTTGTAATGGGAGTCTGTGCTTGTGGGAAGCCCGGAGAGAGTGGTTCCTGGAAAGGGTGTAGCTTTGTGGTTAAGGGTTTGAACTGTGGATTTGGGTTTCAACATAAACACAGGTCCAGTGAATAGGGAGCACCCCGCATGCAGCGGGGGTGGACCTTGTCAGTCCGTGGTGGAGACCTCATACCCAGTCCCAGAGACTCGATCAATGCTCCAAGGTGCAAGCAGAGGACAAATGCACATTCTGGTGTGCACCTCAATGTCCCAGTTTATGGCATTGTTTTAAACTCTCCAAAGCATGACAACATGAAAATGCCAGGTTATGTGTGGCACTGAAGACGTGGCCCTGCGTCACCAAGGACCTGCCCGGTCCTAGTGCGAGGTGGTGGAAGGGAGGTGGGTTGTCTCTGGCCTTCCTGTCTTCCTAGACTTGGCTAAAAACAAGAAGAAAACAATCAGAGTCAAAAAACCAGGAAAATGGAAAAAAAAAAAAACAACAACAATCTGAGCATAACATGTGAAGAAAGACTGTGAAATACAGGGAACATTGGATGCAGGTGAGTGAAACTGTCCACTGACAGGGGACACCTCTGGAGGTCCCGGAGCCAGGCAGGCACAATGTGATCCTAAGTTGGTGCACACCCTTGACTCAAACAGACAGTCCTTTGCTGGAAACACAAGCTCCAGGCTGTCGGGGTCTGGGCTGCAGAAATTCTGGAAGTCATGTCGCACACCCTAGGGAGGCAGGACGGTGAGGCTGAGTGTGGAACCTTGCAGCTACGCCATCTTTGAGACACGTGTGCACTTGGGGTGGGGGACACGGGGCATTGGGGGGAACTGTAAGGCTTCTGGTGTTGGTCAGCTGCAAAGGGGAGAAGGTGAAACCACCGCACACAACACCCGGGACCAATAGGGCTTCAGAATGACCCTGGACATCTTCTCTTGCCCTGAGTAGAGACAGGAAAGGAGTGTGGTTCAAGCAAGGACCTAAAATCCAGTGTCCTTGCCCACAGCAGCCAGGGCGCGAATCCTCAGTTCCAAAAGAGAGTCCAGAGGCACAAACCAATGTCCACCATGATGGATGGTGTGACAGAAGCAAGTCCATAAAAAAAAAAAAATGCAACTAAGACTTTTTAGTATTGTATGCAGAGAATGTTCTAAAAATAGATTTATCTGAGGGGAGAAGGTGATGTTCCCAATGGTATGTGCTGCATACAGAGCATCCAAACAGAGCTAAAGAGCTGATAGAAAATATCTGAATGTAAATCAAGTCCCCTGACTGGCATTTGGATGAGGAACACACTGGGCAAAATGAATCACATAATGGGACTGATAGGTGAGTTGTGCACACTTGGACCATGTCTACACTGCTAGATAGGACAAGGGAGGGAACAATCCTATAGGTTGACATGAGACTCCTTGGTCCTTGGCTCATATAGAAGGTCTCCACAGGGCTGGGAATTATGCCACTGTCTTTGGATACTCTGGGGTCCCATGGAGAATTGTGGAAACATGGTCCAGACCCTGAAATGCTTCCATCTTCATAACTTTGCAACGTGTAATCTTTGAATAAGCAGAGCAGAAATGCTTCTAATTTGAAAGACACAGAAAGCAAGGGGAGTAATCAGGATTAAAACTGGCTTTGGGTAAATAGTGCACATAAAGGAAGAATAAAATAAAAGGGCATGGCAATTTATGAGCTGTCCAGCAGCTGCAGCTCACTTTGATGAGCCAAGAAAAGAACTTAAGGAATATGAACCAGCTATTAGAGAAAAACACCACATCAGCTTTAGTTAGCAAGAATGAAAAGTTGGCTAAAAAACAGAGGAAGAGAAAATTCAAATGGACCTTCATTAGTACTTGGCTCCAATTTGTAGCATTTAAAACTCTTCTGAGACCTAGAGAAAAAATTTAAAAAAACAAATATAGGAGAGGGAAGGCACAATATCCAACTGAGGTCATGCTCACAGAGAAGATAATTTCTAGTGGTTTAAATGCATGCTACACTCAAAGTAGGCCTGAATAAGCTTTAAAAATATATGTATGGCGCATGCTTTAAGTTGAAGTGAAGAAAGATCACACCATTGTCAATATTTCAGGGACAAAAGCTGATTTTTGTATGGCTCCAAGTTCACTAATATCCATAAGCTAGATCCAAAGGATACCAATAGGCCAGAATAAAAAAAAAACAAAAACAAAAACTAAACATCTGTGAGGGATAAGGGAGGAGTATTAGTTAAGACGTAGGTCCAGATGCTTTAAAGGAGAGAAGATAAGAGCAGCCTAAATAAAATAGAAGTTTGCTTCTCTCTCAGGTATAAGTCTTAATGGGTAGATGCTTCAGAAGAGTAGGATGACTCTGTTTCCCAAATGGTCCAGGAGTTCAGAGACCGTGCACCATTGATCTTCCATCCCCTGAGCTGTGCCTTCACCTCCATGGTTGAACATGGCTCACAGCTGCCATATCTGACTCCAGGCTGTGGGAAGGGCAAGGAGGAGTGGAGGGCCTGCCCCTGCCTTTCAAATCCACAACCAGGAAGCTGCACTTATTGCCTCCGTTCACAGAGCATTGGGCACAACTTAGTCACATGGCCACATGGAGCAGCTACCAGAGTCCAGGAAGCATAGTCTTGAGCTGGATGAACATGTGCTGAGACTGGGATACAGGTGCATTCTCTAACTAAAAGGACAAAGTGACAAATGGATACTGGAAGACAAGCAGCAGTCTGGGAGCCCAGGCTCCTTCCCAATTCTTGCTCCACTAGCCCTTGGGGAATTGCTCCCCCTACATGCTCCTGCTGGCCCAGTGTCACCTTGTCTGTGCTCCAGCAAGTAAGAACAGGAAGAAGAATGTGCAGAGCAAGCAGCTGGCTTTGAAGGGTGAGACTTGGAAGTTGCACATGTTATTTCCGGTCAATTCCATCTGCCAGGACATAGTCTCATGGCCTAATCTAGCTGCAAGAGAGCCAAAAACTGTATGGGGTGTGTGTGTGCGGGTTCTATGAATAACAGAGAGAAAGAAAGAATGAATATTGAGAGACAAGTCAAAGTCTCAAACAGAAATAGTGGCAAATGTAATTGCTGAGAGCATGTTCAATCTACTAAAGATACTAGCAAATTGCTCTCAAGTCCTAGTAGACCCACAGGGCTTCTGATTATAGAGGATCTTTATTAATCAAACGTGCCAATTGCACTTCAAACTTGAAAACACTTTGTGTGTTCTTAAGAAATAATGATGATTTCCTTTAGAAACAATTTGTCATTTGAATAGCATTTTCAGCAATTTTGTTTGAATTAGAGTGGCTTAACTGCAAAGGGCAGTGCAGTTCCAGAACAAGGTTTCCCAAACTACGTTTTTTTCTATGTCCTATGAAATAATTTCGTAAAACAGATGCATAACCTCTTCCCCTTTGACAGTTTTACAGAGTATGTCACATGTGAAAGCTCTTAAAAGTCCTGCAGGAAAGAATCCTCCTTAACT